CAGTGCATGTGCGAGACCCATGAAATGTTCCAGATCTATGATGTATGATAAAGCTTCACAAGATTGGTGAAATGGACGGTTAAGATACATCAACGTATCCACGTCGAAAGGCGACGTCATTGCTCACCAGTGACAGCCAGACACATACATGACACGACACATGACACACACGATGCCCTAGCAACCAAACAGACGAAAGTACCCTCGTTGTTCTTTGAACAGAGCCAAGCAATTCAGGTCTATTTTCGTAAAAAGGGAACAAGGCAATAAATGGAGGCCATTCTCGTCATTTCAGCTCCTCTCTTTTATTGATTTATTCCATTACCCCATTTTTTTTCGTTTTAATCCTTTTTATAATGTCCACTTGCTGTGCCTCGTGGGTGGCGGGCATATCGGGCTGCATGTGACCCCACCGCTCAGCCAAGGAGGTCATGGCCATGGTCCCCACATTCACACCTTCTCTCTCCCTCTACACACACTGTCCGTCCCTATCACACTTAACACCACCCGATCCGCCCTCTCTCTCTCCTCTCACCTCCCGGCTCCGGCTTCTTCCTTTCTCTTTCAGCCTCTGAACCCCGTAATCCATGCCGCGTAAACGACCAAGACTCTCAAAAGAAAAGAAGAAAAAGACACCAAACGCAAGGAAGCAAAGTCACGCTCGGATTTCAAAACACTATTCAATTCACTTAAGCGCTGACCGGTCTCACGTCCGCTCTGCACGTGCAAAGTCTTTAGACAACTCTCTCTCTCTCTTAAGTCTCAAGTCTTTAACTCTTAAATGGTCTGAAACTCTGATGAGTCCGCACTCCGCCGGATTATCGTGCGCCCGCGCCGTCCCGAAGCTGGAGTGTAATGGGCCCCACAACGGCCCAACAACAAAATCCACAATCACTGAAGGCCGTACACGTGCAACCCCCAGTTGACACGTATGAGTTGGGACTGGGCCCTGATTGTTGGATGGTTGTGGGTGATTGGTAATAAACACACTTTATTCAGGGGGGAGTGCGTTGATGGCCAAGTGGCAGGCTGCATTGGATACCCACTCCACAGTCCACACCACTCCAACGTTGCTTCTGGGTTGCCAATTTGCCATTAGGGTGAGTCGGAGCATATCTCTCTCCCGCCATGATTCAACCAATCTCCTGTGATAATGGCGACAAAATTAATGATTCCCCTTTTTTGTTCAATTTTTACCCCTGCATTTACCTCAAATTTACTTCACAACAACACTGTACAGTTGTTAGCTTGTAATAAGATGTTTTTAGGGACAATTACTATAATGTAAAATTTTATAAACACAGCACCATTGATTAGTGTTTTTTTTTTTCTTTGTTTCTAAGAAATGTTACATTGCAAATGATAAAAATAATATGAAAATATTTTCCATTTAATTAATATTCATTTGATTGGGATCTATGCGAATAATGTATGCTTTGTAAAACATTAATATCAGATCACCAAAAAGAAAATATGTATCAGAAACCAAAGATTAAGGAGGTGATGCACAACATTGAATGTTTTTTGTTGTCATTTGTTTTTTGAAATTGTCACATTATTCAAAGAAAAACAAAAATGCATTCTTAAACTGTATTTTTGTTTTGAGAAACAAAACCAAACCATTCATGTTTTTGAAATCATCAAAATGATGGTTTTTTAAATGAAAACAAATTTTATGATACGCCTATTTATTTTAATTATGGAACATCATATTAACTCACCTATTTTTCATCTAGAAATTCACACAAAAGGACACCCCAATGTGTTTTTGGTTTTAATTTGAAGTGGAAAATAAAAAAACAATGTATTTTTAATTGTGGTGTGTCCTGTGTCCCCTAATATATATATATTCTTTTCATAACAGGATTGACTGCCCTATATTTATAAGGATCGCCCCAAGTGAGACGTTTGTTCTTTGAAACTGACAGGAGAGGGGAGTGGAAGGAGGGTGATTCACATTGAAGAACAAATCCTAATGTGATGCATCAATTTGGCCTTCAATGACGTTGATAGAATTGTAACTAATCAGTAGGTATTCTTCCATTTAAAAATGTCGGAATGCATATAAGTGTTTGACGACAAAGTTCCACATTGGAAATAAATGAAAGATACAGGGATTAGTGTACAACCTAATGGTCTAAGTTTTTTGTTTGAAGGTGAAGTCTAATTTTTGTATAAATTTCTATTCGAGTATGAATGAACTATTCAGTATTTTATCACTCCCTTCGTTGCAGAATATTGGTACTAGCACTAAAATTAAGTTTAGTTGGATGGGAATTTTGTAGAATGCACATAATGATTCCCATGGTTTTGCTTATTTCCAAGGTTTAACAATTAGTAGGAATGGCAATTTCTATGGATGATTATTTATATGCTCCTGGTTAAGTGTGTCACTTAGGGATGGTAATTTTTACCCTATCCGGTGGGTACTTGCCTTTACTATCCCCGACAGGATGGGGTTCTTTTGTTTAAATGATAGGTTTTGGGGTGGGTATGGTTTTGGGATTCTATAACCCGTAAGGGTACAAGTAAGGTAAGGTATTAGACTAAACTTGACCCTCATCAACCCGTATATTGTTGGAAAGCATATAAATTTTATGTATTAGGTGTTGGATTTAATAATATTTTGAATTTTATGTAAAGGATAATTGATAATTTATGGATTTTTTGCATTTCTTAATCAAATCATTAGAAATCTTGATGTTTATTTGTGTTATTTTACTTATTTATTGCTTATATATGACAATAAATAATAGAAAATTAGATTCAGGTTTTAAACCCAACCCGCTCCTACCCTTGAATGCGGGGAGGGTTTGGATTCTCAAAATCTAACCCGTTACAGGTTTTGGGGCAGGTACGGGTTGAGAGGTGGGTAGAATCTATAATTTACAAAACCCTCCCCAAACCCACCCCATTGTCATCCCTAGTGGCGCTTGATGCACGTTAAACTTTCCAAAAATCAACTAGGTTGCAAATGGATCGGATTTAATCCAATTCAAATTCAATTTGTATAGTAGATTCAGATAATGATCAATTTAATATTTGATTCAAATTTGGATATTTCTTGAATCTTGAGATTTGGTGTCTATATAAAATTTATTTTCTTATATGCTTTTTATATGTTTTTGTTTTTATTTTTAATTTTATAAATTTATTTTAATTTTGTATAAATTTACTAGCATTTCAGTCAAATCGGGTTTGGATTGAATATCTAAATATTTATATATATATTTTTAAAGATAGAATATCTATGTATTTGACATCAATGGCGTTTTTTCCAAGGCGATTACTCCATGTTAAAGCCATGTAAGCATTTTTTTGGGAGAATGACGGTTCAGCCCAGGGTTACTGTTGGGGTAGGTGCCAGCTCGGAAATGATGCCAATTCATGGTGGGCATTGATGCATAGAGTGTGGATTGTTGACATTTTGAATGTTTATAATTCTGAAGTGGAAATCAAAAATCTGCATTGGGCATGTCCGTACTATTCGTTTTTTTCCTCTCCTCTACCTTTCCAAGTGTTTTTTAAGTGTCCCCAAATATTTTCATATAACACTCATACATTGAGTAGCTTTCTAAGAAAACATCAAATTAGTGTTTTCTTGTATGTCAAATTAACGTTTTTTGGGGTTTTTATAGTTCAGTCCACCCTTAGGGTGGAACTAAGATTTATAGGGGTAGACTGAATTTTGCTTGTGGATTGATGCCAAATTCACGAACAGGATGAGGTTTATAAAGGGTGGGCTACTAATAGACTAGGCGGGGGCTTCAATTCAGATTTCTGAGGCGGATTGCAGTTTTTGTATACGTGGTGCCTAATTTTGCTAACAGACATCAAAACAACATAACATTAAGACTGTATTTGGAAACAATGCAAATGGAGTGTAAATCCAGATTTAAGATAAATTTGTACTCTGATTTACTTTTGCATGTACTTGGCAACATTACATTTATGCATTGACAAATGACAGACTAATGCATACATCAATAAAAAAAGAAGTAAATTTGCATTCAAGTGGACTTTTGATAAAAAAAAACGCATATGCTTTATTGGAATTTATGTTTGCATCCATTAGAGTCAAAAGTCTGTTTGGTAAGAAGGTAAATTTATCGTGCAAAACTAACCCAATTTTGCAATTTATATGAACAATTTTACATTCTACATATTTATATTCACATTATTTGCATTGTTTCCAAATGTACCCTAAAGGTTGGTTATTTTTTTTTTAATTTTGAGAAGAAAAAATTGATTAACAGAATTTTATTTTTCATTAATCAAAGAAACCCATATTCTTTTTGTCTATGTAATTTTTTTCCATGGTTATACCATGTTTTCCCACACCAAGGAAAAGTTAAAAATAGATGAGAGAAAATTGATCCTTTTAATAATCTAAATGTTTGATGGGAAATACTTAGCTGTAGAAGCCTAAAAAAATATGCCGAAAACCTGGAGAATTAACTGAAAAGGGTGGATTGAAACCAAACATGGCCTGTGAAATGTGAATCAAAACTACAATCCTTGTTTTGCATATTCATTATACATTCACCCCTGCCCTATCCTCAACACGGCCCCCTAATCCTGTATCTGTGAATCCACCACTTTTTCAGCGGATTGGGTGTGGATATATTCGGTTAGGGCTGACCCAATTTACACCTAAGCCTTAGCAACCCTACCCAATTTTTGCGGCTTCTGCGGCTGTGCTGTGCGAGATCATGAGATGACATAATAATGAAATTGTCTTCCATTTTCCGTATACTTACAGAGGGAGAGATAATCAATTCCAAACCCAGGCTTCTATTTTCAATTCCCATTTTGCCCTCTCTCTCTCACACTCCCCTTGATCTGTTATTCTCCTTCGGAAGTTCGGAGTCCGGACGCAATTACGCAAATCATCATCTTTCCCTCTTCACACTTTTTTTGGGGTGGGTAAAGGACACAGTGGCACTTGCGTAATTTATGTCAGAGTACAAGGGCATTACAAACCAACCCAGGTATTTAGCTCGCCGTTCCGCAAACTCCTCATTTATTCGTTACATGGTCTCTACGAACTTTTTGGGGTTTCTGGTTTTTAATGAGAAGCCCTCCCATCTGGTTTTACGAGCGGTTTTTCAAGCATTTTCACGAGTTCGATACGGTCTCTTGGTAGGCTTTTTTCTTCTCCTACCGAAGCTAGAGGATCTATTCCTTGTTTCACTGGGTTGGATCTGGTTTTCCGAGCAGTCTTTTAGATTCTAGGCTTCTATCTAGGGGGTAGTCCGATCTCCGATTTCCCGGTGGTTTCTGTCAAGTCAAATTGAAGTTCGGGCTGTTTCGTATCAGGATTCGGTGGCTGATCTGATTCTGCAAGCGGATTGAGTAGTATCTGCTTCGATTTCTTGGCCGGAGATGGCTTTTCGGGTGTTTTTATCTCTTCCGAGCTGGTGAAGAGAGAGGCTTAACGATTTAAGGCATTTGTTTGGGTTGTTCTATTTCTCTTTGGTTGTTTTTTTGGGGGGAGATTGGAGATTAGCTTTACGGTATGACGTCGGGAACGAGGCTTCCGACATGGAAGGAGAGGGAGAATAACAAGAGAAGGGAGAGAAGAAGGCGGGCGATCGCCGCGAAGATCTTCGCGGGTCTACGAATGTACGGAAATTACAAGCTTCCGAAGCATTGCGACAACAACGAGGTCCTGAAAGCGCTCTGCAACGAAGCCGGATGGACCGTCGAAGAAGACGGTACCACTTACAGAAAGGTAAGCAAGAAAATTCTTCCTCGCATAATCTATTTTTCTACTCACTTCTCTCACCTAGTGGTATCTGGTTTCACCCGGCGCATGTTAATGTCGCATTTTGTGAGTGATCGATACTATTCTGCGCCGGTTGGTTGCAGAGAAGATATCTGCCTAGGATGTGTCTTTTTTTCTGTCTTAATTTTATGAACTTCCAACTCTGAAACAGAACTGAAGTCCATTGACTTCATTCAATGATTGACCCCATTGAAATCGGTTTAGCTTCTTTTATCGTCACTAAAATCTGTTAACGAGCGCGGATGCCGGTGGATTATTAGCTAAACCGCCGGTCAGGTTAAATGAGCTCCGTACCTTGGTTGGAGCCAAGAAAGCGCTCACGCACCTATGTGCTCTTTCATTCTTCTTTCGTAGGATAGAACTGCTAGAACAGATCCTTTTGCAGCGTTGCCTACCGGCGCACGTTAGATCAGTTCCAGGGGGTGCCTTTTTTTTCCTGGGCGCGTGAAGCATAAAGATTCTCTGCTAGTCTACACGATGACTGTAAATCTGAAGCACTGCAAGCCTGAAATCATATAGGAGGCCATGTTCCGACAGTGCCCCTCTCATTTCTCAATAGTCGAGCTCTTTCCCAAAATTCCCCGCAAAATCCAGAAATCCGGATTTTAAGAGGGGTAATTTTGCCATTTTGGGCACCATCTCCCTTTGGTAGATTCAATGTAGCCTCTTTTGTGTTGTCTTTCTTTATTGTAAGCTGTGGCCAGTCCTCTTTTTGCCCTCCTCTGAGCTCCGCTCTTCTTTTGGAGCGTCCAACTTCCGATCAAAAATACCACTATACCAGTTCTCGTGAAAGCCGAGGGTAATTCCGGAATTGGGTTTCACTTTTCCATGTTACCTAAGTTACCCCTTACTTTAACGTCAGAATTTGTGTATTCATGTTAGGTCATTTTGGTCAATTTGTTTTGCCGGGGCCTTCTGAGCATATGAGCTTGATGGCCAAAGCGAATACTTTAGTGGTTTTTAATGTGCGAGATTCCCGGATGCTATATTTTCCCACGAAAGGTAGCCGCAGCCAGCATAGTTTTGGGGGTTTGAGCTGTGTTTCTTTATTGCAAAATTTTACGTTAGAATATTGGAGAAGAGATCTCAAAATCTCGAACCTATGGATCCCCTTTTCGTTTTTCCTCCATTTAGGCACACACCACATACCTTGCCGTTTGTGGTTCTGAACGCCAGACCAATCAAGGGATTACGCGTCGTAAAGAATACGTTCGTTGATATTTGTGTACCATCTCACTTTAAACTTTAGAATTACGTAATTATCCATAGAGTTGGCTTTAGATATGGGCTTGTTTGAAGGAATAAAATGTCTGATCCAGGGTTAAGTTTCTCCCCGGAATTTTTCCTCATTCGAACACCTGATAGCTTTATGGATCTGTACTTGTCTCCTTTGCTTGGACCTGAGTAGGCAGGAGAATCTGTTGTTTGGTTATAATGGTATCTCCAAATTGAGAGTTTTGCAGCCTTCTTGGTTTGATTTACATTAGTGTGATGAGTGTTTTTTTTTTTTCTCTTTTTTTTTTCAGGTATGAATATGATTGGTATAAAATTTGAAATTTGGATTTACCCATGTCTCAAATAAAACTGGGCCTTCTTTGTCATTGGATTAGTTTCAGTTCATGCCTCCATACTCTTTTGGTATTTCTAAGAAGAAAAATGCATAAGGAATTAAGGACTCTCTGAATTGGAGCTAGAGCTTGGTTAGCTTTATGTTTATAGATGTTTAGTTGTTATAATCATTGGGTTACTACCAGTCCAAGTCGTGTGGTCCTGTCTCTCCAATTGGAGGTTTCTGATCAATGAATTTGGATCCCGTTGAAATTTAATGCTTAATTGAATCAGAATTTGGGCTTTATAGGCTTTGGAAGGAGTACAAATACAAAAATGCTGAGTGCAAAAGCTTGTATTTTGTATTATTTTATATATATTTGTACTGTACATATTTGTATATGTACCCCTTCCAAACTGAGAACTAGACTTAGTTCGGAAAGAGTACAAATACATGTATAGTACAAATAGATGCAAAATACAAAGTTTTGCACTCTACATATGTGTATTTGTACTCCTTCCAAACTGAGCCCGAGGTTCATTGGTGCCTTTAACTGTTTTGGCCTTTTGTAAGAACCTAGTTTTCCTACCCAAAACATCAAATCCGATTGAAATAGAATGTATGTCTTCAAACAAGGTCAATCATGATTTATAAGGGTAAATTTTGGGGTAAGGGTGAAAGAAAAATGTATACACACCCAATAACATCGAGAGTCCATGATTATAGCCTGATGCTAGCAGATCAAGCATGCAGAGGATGCATGGATCCAGTGGGGAATGCTTTGTCCCGCATTTCATGATAATCTAATTAGGACATGACAGCAACCTCTTTTTCTGAGCTTTATTGTGCTTGGTACTCCATGACAAAGTGAAAGCTGCAAAATGCTCATGTTACGTCCTAATTGTGTTACTTGCAAACTTTTGCAAGACACTTTCATATTGTCAAACCTTCAAGTCATTAACCTTTGTTATTTTTGCCTAATAAATTCTCTTATCGTTTAAATTTTGCAGGGATGCAAGCCTGTGGAGCGCATGGATGTAGTTGGTGGGTCTGCTTCCGCAAGCCCATGTTCTTCATACCAGCCAAGCCCATGTGCATCATACAACCCTAGCCCAGCAACATCTTCCTTCCCAAGCCCAGCTTCATCGTCTTATGCTGCCAATGCTAATGCAAATGGTGATGGCAATTCCCTGATCCCTTGGCTGAAAAATCTCTCATCTGTATCATCCTCTGCCTCCTCAAAGCTACCCCACCATCTCTATATCACTGGTGGTTCCATAAGTGCTCCTGTAACCCCTCCACTGAGCTCCCCAACTGCCCGTACCCCACGAATCAAGACCGACTGGGATGATCCTACTGCTGGTCCTACCTGGCCCGGACAGCACTACTCCTTCCTACCTTCCTCCACTCCACCAAGCCCTGGGCGTCAAATTGTCTCGGACTCGGGATGGCTTGCCGGTATCCGTATCCCCCAAGGTGGGCCATCCTCTCCTACATTCAGCCTTGTCTCATCAAACCCATTTGGATTCAAGGAAGAGGTCTTAGCTGGTGGAGGGTCTCGAATGTGGACACCTGGTCAAAGCGGGACATGCTCACCAGCAGTTGCGGGGGGCTCCGACCAGACTGCAGACGTTCCAATGTCAGATCGCATCTCAGATGAATTTGCATTTGGTAGCAATGCAACAGGACTGGTGAAGCCATGGGAAGGAGAGAGGATCCACGAGGAGTGCGGATCAGATGACCTTGAACTCACCCTTGGCACTTCTAGGACCAGGTGCATTAATACTAGATTGTAGTTGAATGGGAAGCCCCGTGTGCCTGCTGTCTTTCTTTCTAATTAATTTGGTTTTGTTGTGGTCTTGCAGATAGAGAAGCGTGGAGAGAAAGGGCGAAAGATGTTTATGGTCTCTTGCTTTTAGCTTCTTCATCCTTTGTGAAAAAACCAGTGGCTTGTTATTTCAAAGACCATTGAACCTTAATCTTGGTGTTACTGGTGAGAAGGTGTTGATTAAAAAGAATGTTCGTCCGTGAATCAGAGCTCGGTTTTGGACGGGAAAGGGAATGGTAGGGGGTGTGTAGGGGAGTAGTGAAACTAAGGAAAAAGATACAGGGTTCCTTTCTATTTTTTGTCTTTTTAAATTATATATTGTTCAAGGTGGTGGGGGTGGGATCGTAGGGTTCACGTTCACCCCTTCTTTGTTTTCTTTTTCATTTGTTTCTTTCTTTTATTGTATTCAAAGTTTGAACCCACTAATATATGGATGCTGATTTGGTCTCTCTTGACTCGTCAGTTTTTTTTTTTTTGGCCATCCAGAGCAATGTTTGATTGTGGAGGAGATGGGACGAATTAAATCTTTGCATTTGGATAAAGAACTTACTTCAATCTCTATTTGGAATCTTGGGGTGATATTGTTGTTTAGCATGGAATTGGTGTCTTTTATTATTTTGGCAGTCTCTTACTCTTCTCTTGTTCTCTTTTTCATTATCAATCGATACATTTATTGAGATAAGGTTTCATAAACAGTTTAATAGCATTTTACAAGCTTATCTTAACATCCATTACACTCTTGAGTAAAAAAACAAGAAGGAAATCTGTGACGGATATTTTACTAAATAATTTCGAATCTGAGAGGTCCCCTCATCAATCATCATGAGCTGCTTTTGCCTTTGCGATTGTGATCTGGTTAATGGGCTTAATGCCCATCCCCCACCTGATATCGCCATGATTCCCATCTGGAGAAGTATTATAGTTTGAGAAGTGCTCCCTCACGAGTCACGTGAACGGCCCCCTGGTACTCAGAATGATTTGGATTGGAAACGTTTGTAAAGACAGAGCCTGTTTTTGGTCAGATGAAATTTATCACTCGAGTTGGTGGATAGGCTCCGGTATGGTTGGGTTTGGGGATCCCCCCCCCCCCCCAAAAAAAAAAAAAGTTTGACCGAGTTTGTCTCTATGGGAAGGGAAGCGACCCCCACGGCCCCACCCAAGGAGGGGCCAAAAGTGGACCCCCGACTTTTTTTCTGGGTCCCAACCAGAAGGCCCAGAATGTTGTATTGTGTGGCACATGATCTCTTAAAGCAAATGTATGACTTTTGACTTTTTTTTTTGGCTCATACTCGTCATGAGGGAAGGTAGGGAAAGAGTAGAAATAAAAGAAACAAAACAACCATTCTCACCGTTAAATGTTGATTTTACTGTCCACGACAAAGCAAACGGGCCCTACCAATGGCCAGCATAGCTCCTGATCCTCTTTCAAGTTGATGAGATGGGGACCTTCCTCTACTTTTGCAGTATTCTTTTTATGATTCCATCCAAGATAATGCTCCAAAACGTACACCAACCTGCATCCCAAAATTCCCATGAAGTTTTCCTGTTTTCCACTCTCAGATTACAGGAATTCCTTTAGTTTTTTTTTTTTCATTTTCAAGCAAGAATTTCTTTCTGTTATTTTCTTGGTTTTCTAGATTACAGGGAAATGCTTGTTTGCTGTTCTATCATATATTCGATTGGAACTTTCCACTCTCAGATTACAGGATTTTTTTAGTTTTTTTTTTCATTTTCAAATAATAATTTCTTTCTCTTTATTTTCTTGGTTTTCTAGATTACAGGGAAATGCTCGTTTGCTGTTTTATCATATATTCGATTGGAATTATTGAGTTTGCTTCCAGTCCTATGGAGGCAGGATTCAGGAGTCACCTATTCTGTTTTGCATATATATATGAAAGAATTTTATTTTGCAATTACAACAGAGTTGTATAAAAGAAGAGAAATTAGGGTTTTTAATTAATGGAACTAATCAAAATGGTGCCCTAGCCTTGTGCATTCAAAATGGGTTTCAAAGACTACCATATTCTAATTACTAAACGAAGCCAATTGTCATTTGAGCTTCCAAAATCCAAATGGACCCTCATGGATTATGATTGCAATTGACATTTGTTTTCTTGTAAAAAGCGACCAGGGGGCCCACTACACATGTTTCCCACATCAGATGATCGGGCCCACCAGTCAACTCGCCTGAAAATCAGGCCCACTGTTTGTCTTTTTTTATTTTTCTTTTTTCACTGCAAATATTGGAAGGATGGAGAATTTTTTTTTCTCTGCTAAAGAGTCTTGGAGTTTTCTCAAAAGGAAATGCATAAATCAGGCGATTGAAAGTGATCAAATCATGCTAGTTTTTAGCCGGAGGTCCAGGCTTTGGTGTGACCCATCGAATAGCAAGTTCCTATCTTTTGAATTGAATGTTTGTAGTGAGTTATGAAGAGTAAGGCCCCAAGGCAAAAACCATACCTACTAGTCCTGTCTCCCCGTATCTGAGACAGTCCCTTGTCTTTTATCTTAGCTAAGGGAATATATTCTTCCTTTTCAGGTGGACAAAAAACCCTAGAAACCAAAGAAGCGTTTCATTGGTATAACTAAGTGCATAAGAGGAAGAGCGTTGATGATGTGAAATAAGTTTGAAAATCAATCCAGTGTGATGACAAGAGAAAAGGGTTTCTAAAAATGGGGTTCTTAGGGCTCTTCCTCCTTTGGATAGCCACATGGGGTCCTGCTGTTGCCAAATTCAACAATTAATCAGCTGAGGGACCCTCTAGAACATGGTTGACAGTGCATTTACTTCCAAAGCCCATTTCATTTCATTTCCACCCTTGGTCTGTCTTTAGAGCATGAAAATTTATTTTTTTTAATACCCCGAAAATTCTTTTTTTAATAAATCTAAAATGATGTTGTTAGACATATTTAATTATTTTTATTTAGGATTTGAATATGATGCCAGAAAAACAACGATACTAGAAAAACTTACAACCAATCAATCAGCATCATAAAAGTAGTAATCAATCAAGTGGATTTTCATCAAATTTATTGGAGTTGTGATTGGTCAAAACCTCTTAGGTATCATGTCTTTCTAGTATCATAGATTTTCTCATTTATTTATTATTTTTCTATTTTTTATGTTTTATTTTTGTTTTTTTGGGGGGGGTGGGGATGTTGGGTGTTTCACTTTGGAGCTACTTGAGTCCAAATTGATGAGTTGAGACTAATTGAGCTTCCTTGTGGTCTAAAATGCCTTTTGCTATGCAATGTGTCTGGCAAACACCAATCCCACCAAAATATCTCTCTTTCAGAATATAGAAAACGGAGACTCTGCTACCCAGAGACCTTGAGGCAGTCAAATTCTAGATGGTGAATTCCTCCTCTAGGGAGGATGTATTCTGGAAGGCATGCTTTGCTCATACAGTGTTGGCTTGACCATGTAACCGTTGATCAGAGTACCCTACTCTGGTCTGGTCAGCAGACCAGGATAGTCACTTTGGTCAACGGTTTAGAGGATCCAAACTCCATATAACGTTCAAAGTAAGAACCATACGACTCTGCCTGAGAGTCTGAGACAAAGGGGGTAGCTTTTGTTAAAGGGTGAGACTTTGAGACCCTTCTTTTGTCACACCCAGAGAAAAAGAAAAGAAAAAAAGACGGAATCCCTTGATATAAACAAAAGATCCTAATCACTTATTTTAATTTTTCTCACCTCACCTAAAACCATATATTTGTTTTAAATAAGATTCAAAATATCTCAATGTATCAATTTTTCAATCCACCTAAACCTTATTTATCAAGAATTAGGCCCCGTTTTACAATTCATCTATTCCAACTGTTTGGTTGGGTGGAATTAGAATTCCGTTTTCATTTCTACTGAAATAGCATTCCCCATTTGAGAGAGGGAATGACTATTCCCCGTCTTTCCCTTAGAAATGAAATCCCATTTTTGCTGATTTTAATTCCTATTTTCATTCTTATTTGAACCAAACAGACTATGAGAATGAATCAATTCTAATTCCGATTTCAGAAGATTTCGATTCCAATTCCGACTGCAAACCAAACAGACTCTTACAACCATTCAATTCTGCATAGATTTTCTTCTATTTCTCATTCTACTCTATAAAAAACAAAACCCATCTTATCTTACAGTTTTAATTTCAGTAATATGTCTTTGTTACACAAAACCCAAGAAGAATATATCCGGTTTATCTACCGAAACTGGTATTCTCTGCAATCTCTTTCTTCTGATCAGAGATGATCAGAGATAGGGACAATTACAAAGAGAAGTATCCTTTATCTTTACATTATTCATAGCAAAAAAAAGTATATTTCTTTATAGAAGTATAGTATTTAAGACTGTATGACCATGGAAATAGAGATTCCAGCCATGATTTCTCTTCCCCAACTTGTCATAGGCCAGGTATTAGTTACTGAATTACTGAATTGCAGTTGAATGTGTTAGTTAGGTACCTAACCTAGTGGCCCTCTCACCATCCTCTCCTTTTTGCAGAGAGTAAATGTTCTTATCATTAAGGCTGTCAAAGGATTCCAAAAGACTTTGGAAATCCAATCCAACATTCGATATGATTATTTTGGATTCAGATTTTATAACCTGCATCTGATTGGATTGGAATGGGTGCATCCCATCCAATCTGATTAGGATGTAAGCCCAATTAATAAATTCAATATCTGTATTTATATAACTTAAAAATAAGTAATTCTTTTTAAGTTTTCTTTCTTTAAACTATGGTTTTAAAAACCAACTTAGAATTGGACGCACTTTGGCCACCGGTCTGGGTCAGTGATTTGACCGTTTAATTCAAATGGATGACCTGTCTTGATTTAAAAAATATTATTTGGGTCAAACAGGTTGACTGTTCGACCATCTGGGTCAGTGGGTCACTCATCAAACCAACGTTTTTGGCCAATGACCAGGTTAAGGGTGAAACGAAACCATCTGTCTGAACGGTTCCACGACAAACAGTCCGATCATCAGGATCAATGACAGATTGAAAACAGTGCTTTAAACACAATAAGTGCAACCCAAATCCGACGTGAGGATTCCAATATGATTTTGGATCGGATTAGGATGGATCAAATTCAATTCAGACCCATTACAGCCCAACTAATCAACCCAAACCATCAAATTTTCAGGCCCTCATCCACATGGCAACTTAAGATAAAGAATAACTTGGTCCGCTGGATTTAGTGGTTAAGATAAAGTTTTAGTCCAACTTGCATATTAGACGTGATGTGGGCTGTGCCGAGCCTTCACGACACGATTTAATCGTACTGCCCAGACTGTAGCAGGCCGTGCTGAGCCTGCTGGCACAGCACGACAGATTGGAGATGGGGCCATGGGCTGTGCCAAACTGTACTGGCCCATGGGTGGCCCGGGCCGTCATACACCTAAACATCGTTCTCTTTGGGTTGATGGTGAAGAAAGCACTCCATCCATATATGGCATATTGGCATATGGATCAGCCAATTGTAGTACTAGTCATCAACTGACCCACGCAATCCAAGCCCACCCATATATAGCTAGTAGCTTGGTTCAGTCTCGTCTAAATGCGGCAATCAGCAGCACATCT